AATTATAGCATTTTGATCTTTACATATACGTTACACTAGAACAATGATGACTATCAATAAATGTGATGTTATATGATTATGTTAGTATTAAAACATACTTACACTTAAATTTGACTAGGAAAATATTTTAAATGGTCTAAATGAAGACAATGTGATGGGTGATTGCAACTTTTTGTTCTTAAAAGACAATAGAATATATCATTATGCCAATTGCAAGAGCATTAACTTTACAATCATTTTATAGCCACAAAATAAGAACATGCCATTAAGAAACTGTAGTGTAGAATATTCTAAGAAATAGAGAGTGTGCCATCTGTTCAAAACTTTCTACATCTGGAGTTTTTAGACTGGCAATATAACTTAAACTAGTAATTAAAATCTAATATTTAATGACAGAGAAATAGAACATCGATTTTTTCTGTGTCTGATACACATGTTTATGATCTGAACAGTTCGGCCACTTTACAATCAAATAATAAAATTTTAATGCTGTAAGAGGTAAATAATACTCGTAATACAATATTGATATACATGTAAGTTATTATGTATCAAAATTCTGTCACAGCTTTTTCCATCGTAGAGCTGTCAATGATTGCGTTGTTTGCATTTTCTTGACATTGACAAATAGAAAATATATTTAATCTGTACAAAATCATTAACCTTTTACATCTGTTGTCATTGCTATTTTATCTGATCGTCTCCTGAAAATCTATATGGGCAATTTGCTGTGAAAGAATTAATCATCATTACAGGCCAAAAATTTATAGCGTCTTGTTTTATCTTTCTTAACTGCTCAAAAATATCAAGACAATAAAATTTGTATTTATGTATTAGTAAAAGTATATTGATCAATTCATTGATATATTGTTTTGACTGATTAATTGAAGTAAAAAAGAAATGCTGATACATAAATAATTCACAATTTGTTTGTTTGTTTTTACTGCACACCAGCATAGTTTGTCCTATGACGCCAAAACAAGAAAGATCTTTTAAAATTACACTGGAAGCAACTAACTTAAAGCAACACCAGGGGCCAAAAAAACTTCAAATGCCGGAAATGCAGTAGTTTGAACCCATTTAGTCTCTTATGACCACAGGGATGGCTGCAGTTCTGATGCCTCAACTCTTAAAGGCAACCCCTCAGTCACAACGGGGCATAATTTACAAACTAGAATGACTTTGTTTCTTTCTTTCCACTATCATAGAAAGTAAGGAGAGTTATGAATACTAGTCTGTAATTACATTTACATAATCTTTATAAAATGCCAAAAGTAAGTAAGGTCAAATGTATGAAGAATGAAAACTTAACATCTTAAGCGTCACCTACTTTAAAGCATGAAGACCATCTTAAAAATTCAAAGTTAATTAGACCTGAATTATGCAATGAATTAAAAAGTAGTGCCGATTTAAGGCCTTTAATGAAATTTATGAATACAGTCATCAAAAAGTTCCTGGAGTTAACTTATCATTTTCTGTAAACTCTATGTAAACTTTATGTACAAATATATTATAAAAACAGCTTACTCTTTAACATCATAGATGGCACAAGTCTAAAGGACCTACAAGTTCATACAAATTAGCATTTTTTCTATATTATATACATAAGGACCAGATTATTCCAAAACCAACACTAATCATTACAAGAATTGTATCCTAAATCATGAGTGACTACAAGTAAATGCATGTATAGTGCATGCTCAAAATATATTATGATTCTTTGAAAGCAAGGGATACTTAGGCAAAATAATGACAAAAATATCAAAATTATCTTATGTACTCAAAATCAAGATAAAATGGCATTTGTTAAAGTCCCCGCATGAATTTTGGTATAAATTCTGTATATTTTGGGTTTGAAGCGTAAATAAATCTATATATATTAAACAAAATTTAGATACCGACAGAATCATCGAGTATGTTTAAAACTAGTCATGTGACTTGAACAAACCATGAAAGTTACAATAACACATATTGTGGATATTGTGTGATTGAAACAAACCTAAATCATTCATTTGATATATTCTTTAACGTTTCCATAGTTTACTGTGAGACCTATGGTGAAATTTCAATGCTCTAACCCGACCCACGTGGGTCAAGTTAGGAAACCGGCATTTTATTCTTTATAAGGAGAAAAGTTTTTTTTCCAGTGACTGCCTAGTGTATTTATTTTATGGACATTTACAGATTAATAAATGAAAAATTCTAAACGAAGAAAAGAAAGTTTTGCCTGTGTCTCCCTTTAAAGTTGCATGCATCCAGATAAGCCAAAATAGTTCAAGAAAAACAAACTTGAGAAAAATGAACTATGATTTTAAGAAAAGTAAAAAAAAACAATATTCCAGTAATAACTTACATTATGTGCGATTAATGACTGATGTTTTCAGTATTTATCACCGTATTTCTACAGGGAGGTCTAATTTAGCATATTTTGACATCATTTTGGAAATTTACATGGATTGAAAATGTTGTTTTTCAATGTTTAAAAATTTTTTCTTTGTTACTTCAACAATATTTAATTTTTAATACATTTTTAAAATTTTCAAAGACAATAAACAAGGGCCCCGGAGGGGTAAAATGGGGGTTTAAAAAAGGGGAACCAAACCCTTTTATGAAGTTTTTCAGTTTTTAAATAACAAAATCTGATATTTTTTTATCTTAAGTAAAAGAAAAAGACAAATGTTAATTCCAACTTGAACCTTTACACGTTGGGGGGTAGTTAAAAATTTTAAATTATCTTTCCCCAAAATTTGAACCAAACTAATTTTAAAATTTAAAAAAAAAATTTCAAATACAAGAAAATCCATGACTCCCTTAAATTTTCTTCAATATTAATGGAAACATATGAAAAATTTAAAAAGGGCCAAAACTAAACTTTGGTCATGAATTTTTAATTCATCAACTCCCTGAAATTACTAAGTCTGCAATCATATGCTGAATAAATCAATTACTTGACATCAAATTATTAGGAAGCTTCTATGTTTTATGTCACATGATCTAGAGTCAGTACAATATATCAAAATATGGACAAGATGTGATCCCTCATAAGAAGTTATTCACAACAAAATTACATTGACTGACTCTGTACCTTTGGGATAATGAAAATGCGCAACATCCCCCACGCCCCCCTATCAATTTTCAATACTTATAAATGCTGGATCCCGAAGGACCAGAAAAAATATGACAACACTAAAGGGAAGTATGGGGGCAACTTTTTCCAGCTGCCACACAACACTTGACACCTGCTGTTGTGCAGTTTAAAAGTCTGAACAAAGTGCAATCCCTCTATTAACAATAACAATCATAGCAAAATCTGCAACAATTCACTGAAGCTAAAAATATCTGTGTGCACTCTGTAAAGCACTTGGTTACCTAGATCAAGATATAAGTTCAAGGACTTCATCATGAGTCATTTAATCAGATTAATAACTAGCTCGCCACAAGTTATTCAAGTTACTAGGCTATAAAGTAATGTTATAAAACCGTTAAAACTTTCTAAATAGTTTGCTTGTTTTGTCTTTTTTATTTGTACAAAAATGAGGTCGTATATTTGAAGATTAATCTTACAGAACAAAAGCAGGAAAAAACTGTGTTTTGCTATCTACTCGTATTTAAAATTTATTATATTTTGAGATAAAAAAACTATTTTATGATTTAACTTTCTTCTCATGTGCACTAAACTGATATTATAGCGATAATTTGTTTAATGTTATAAATCTGAGGGCTGAAACATGACAGTATCTGGATCATTTTAGGGCTTCAATCTTGCAACCAACTAACCCTCCACACAAAAATTGTGTGACAAGAAAAAAAACTTAACTAATAATGCAAAAAGACCTTTGTGTGCTTTAAAGCAGTGCAGTTGTTAACATTGAGGCCTCTTCAATCTTAACTTATGAAATAACATACTAAATGCCAAAATATGACATGGAAAAAAACCTTCCGCTTTCAGAAAATAAACAACAACAATAAGAAACAGGTGTGTGACCATAATACACATACTGGCTTGTTATATATCTAGCAACAATATTCTAAAAACAAATTTTTAAGTTATTATCAGTAAATATACCTGAAATTGATAATAATTCATCTAAACAATGACTTAATATAATAATGAAAATTATCTTTTAATATAAAAGTGAAATTTATTTGTTTAGTTATCTTAGTTTTTTTTAAGTGAATTGATTCATAATGGAAATAATTACGTAGACAGTATTAAATGTCATACATGCAACATATGTGTTAACAAACCACAAAATAATTATATATAATTATATGGATGTTGTTTGTTACATGTATGTGTGAGAATTATATGATCAAATAAAACTTATCATTATGTAGCAAATTATAAATTGTTCTAGAACAAAATATCATTATTCATCATATAAAAATGTATACTATAATTATGGTAATCCAATAAGAACACTTATCAATTTTTTTTTTCAAAATATACTTTAATATGAATATCCAAATGATTCATTTATAATTGTTTTTATCAATATTTAAAAAAGCTATGGAAAATGTACCCATTGTAGACCAATATATTTTAACCCATGACCTGCAAAATTTCTTAAATGGGCATGCCCATCTTAATTTTAGGAATAAACTGTTAAGAATTTTAGAATATCAAACCAAAAGTTAGTCAGCCAACAGTATACAATCTGGTCAGACTACACAGAAGAACCGGCTGGCCTGACTCTATACTGCTGGCAAAGTCAAAATGCTTTAAGTTTGTTCAAGCTTGTGTGTGAAGAAAGGTTCTATAGTGTTTACTTGAACATCTTTTGTGTTCCCTTCTTGGAACTAACCAGTACTGATATATGAGGGAACGTGGTTGTAACCCCAGTAGCAATCTGCATTGTGAGGAAATTGAAACCAGCACCAAAAGATTACAAACCAATGCCTATCCCTATTGGGTGCTGAAAATTTTGAAAATCCAAATTAATAAATTCTCCATAAACTTAGATACTTAAAGCTAACTTATAAGGAAGTCTATCACAATCAAAATATCTAATATTTCATTGCAAAATTATAAATTAATTCGTATACAGGAAAATGAATCATGCCTCTTATCTAAATTATGCCCAAGATAATTGCAAAATAATTTTGGATTATATTGACATCATCATCTTTTCGTCAAGAATGACTATAAATGCTTTCTTTTTATTATCTGTTTGGATATTCAGTAGAAAATGAGCTATTAAAGATTTGAGACAATGGTTGAATTGAGTCAACTCAACAAAACAATTCGTTGCAATATCTGTTAGACTGAACACAAAGTTTAGAATCTCACCACAAGAGTAGATATATCATATATCTATTCTTTAACAAACACTTAGATAATCAACATTGCCCAGGCAGTCCAAGGACTTTGTATATTCACAATAAAATGAAAACAAATGGCAAAAAACAAAGATAACATTATTTACATTAAGCACCATGTAACCAGTGTTAAAATATTGCAAAACACCATTTTATATTTTCACACACTTTCACTGGTATAGTAAATCATTATGGCAAGCATTTTTTTACAAATTTCACCTAGAATCCTGTCTTTTTTAATTCATATTCATATTATTTACAAGCACACTTGCCTGATTCGGTACTGTACATCTTCTATTTAATACTCCCATTCCAAGTACATGGTAAATCCTTGTAAAATCACATTTCACAAATTCCACTTAGTATCCAGGCATATTCATTCATATTATTTATAAGCACTTTAACGTTATTCAATTACCATACATCTTCTATTTAACATTCTCTTTTCATGAACATGTATTGTACTACACTATTTGGTCACCATCTGTTCAGAAAACTTAATCTACACTAAACCAAACTCATCCTGCCCTCTTTAACGTAACTGGTCCCATAACCTTTAAGCACAACAATGCATTGCGTAACATTATCAAATGTTTTAAACAAAAAAATATCAGCACAGTGTCCATCTTTTTTACACTATCAAATACTGTTTATAACCGCCATATTTGTAATTGTGTGTCACAAATCAAATGAAGAACAATCACCAAGATGTTTTTTCTTATCATTTTTGTGGGGTTTTTTAACAAAATTATTGAGCAAATTTATATCTGTCACAGAGCTGTACAGCGTAATGTGTCAATCCAGCCATATCCGGGCTTCATCTCTTCCCATTTGTATATATTTGGCCCAGTCATGTTTAAAAACACTCTTTTCTCGTTGATGAAATTACATGTTGCATTGGTAACCTGGAAGAAACAATATATATAATATATGATTTAGTTCTCTACAAAATTAAAATCTTTAATAATATATGCATCCTATGATATTTAGTATTGTTTGATTTTACAGCCTATCAACACAATAAAGGTCATATTGGGCCGAAACATGGAAGATGATTTAGGCAACCCCGGGTGTTACATACTTAAAGCAACAACAGGGGTCAAAATCACCTCAACTTCTGTACAGAAGTATATCAGTTTCTTGCCGAAGTGAGGGCACAAGTTTTTGTAAACTGCTTAACAACATTCCCAGGGAAGATTCTGGGGCTGAAATGTGCTCAGGAAATTCAATATGGCATGTTAAAAAATCCACTCCAATAATATATATAGCTAAGACAAAGCTGTCAAGTGGTTTTGTCCATATTATACATAGATTAGAGAACATGCTGGTCACGACACATATAGGGCTCAAACTTGTAAATTTGGACTAAAATAAAATTTGCCTATTCAAAGGAAACTAAAGGGTGCTAAGGCCCAAAAAAACATTAATTTTATACAGAAAATTATAAAATTTTTGTTTCCCGTCTATGTTATTATATAGATTACATTTATCAGAATATACAGTCATGTTAACAGGTATATAAGAACGAAGATCATTACATATAAATAACTATAATTTGGGGGGGGGGGTTGTTAAACAATTGCCCATTTTAATTTCCCTTAAACTTATTCACAGGGTTTTATTCTTCTTGTTAAAAGTGTTGTTTATTCTAGAAGGTATGTATCAAGGTTAAATATACATCATTATTTATGCAGGAAATCTGTTTCAAGTGACAGGTTGACTTGTTAAAACTGCCTAAGGTGGAGACGTTAATTGGCTACTATGAATCACAAATATATACACTGTGTAAAGCAAAAACGACTCCTGTATTTGTACAATGTATGTTGAAATATAGTTTATGATTTTCTTTTCTAGACTACCCCCATCCTAAGTTAAAACTTAAAAGTAACTACATGGATCTGCACATGTTAAAGAAGCATGCCTCCAGGTGAGCCAAAATATTACAATAAAGTCAAACTTGAGAAAAAGGTCAAAGATTTTAGGAAAAGTGGAAAGATTCAAGTAATAATTTACATGTATGAGAGATCAATTGTTAATTTTTATGTCTACTGCGTTACTAATGCAGTAAGGACACATTTTGTATATTTTGACCAGTTTTTGTATTAATTGTATATTGTAAGTGCCATTGATAATGTGTAATTGCTTCCTTTTGGTTATTAAAAAACATTATACTTTAAATTTCATTTTCAAAATTTTCATGAAAATAAGCATTAATATGGAGGCTTGCTGCTTTAAGAATCAGGTAAGTGCAATGCAAATTTCTGTTTCACACAAATATAAGTAAGGGAAATAAGCTAAAAAATAACTGAAAAATCTGAAAAAGATAAACTCAAGGACTTCAATACGTACAAAAGCTGCCCAAATGTTATAGGAGGACTGGAACCCCTGCATCATTTGCCGGCATACTTCTGTCAACTCGTCCCCATTCGTCATTTGGCACCTGTTGTCCTTGGTAATGGATGGATTGTAACCATATCCCATTCTCATGCCATTCACCCTGTAAATACATATAAATATATTTATAACACAAATTATATAACTCAAAGTGAAAATCCAGAGAAAAGACTACGGCTCCCAAGGGAGAAATAAAATACAAAATCAAAGAGTTCACCTCCCTAGAGAGAAATAAAATACAAAATCAAAGTGAGACCAACAATTGTGCATTAGATTTGAAAGATAAATATAGTAATTGCATGCAACTGTTGTCAAATCCCTTAACAACAAGTTAAACAGTTTGCTTGAGTTTCTGTTCTAAAAGTTCTTGGGACAATAATTCTCGTGTAAAATTACTATAAAAACTCTTATAATTATGGCTTTTAGTATAGAGCCATTTACGAGTTATTTGCAAACTCTGATACCAAGTACATGTTGGAAATTTCAACCTCAATATGGCTTATAAGTGTATAAAAGTTTTACAAACCATACATTTTGTCAAATTACCACTTTATCAAACACTGTGACAAAAATACCAGAAAACGATTCTAATAGTTAAAGAAAATTCACCCAATTTAGCAAAGTTATGTATTAAGCAGTTATATAATCGATTTAATTTGATGAGGTATCTTTAACCTTTACGTTTATTTACGTATAGCATCACACAGACTTGCCCGGCTTCCATTTGAGGACTTGGTCAATTTTGGAGATATCGAGGTGAAAATTTACCCAGAATAGAGCCTTATCACTGCAGTGGTCAGAATTAACCAATATGCAAAACCACCTGACTCCATACTGGTTTACTAACGGTTCCAGCAGAGTAAAATTAAAATCCTAATATATCTGTCATTTAATGGCTATACACATAAAATTTTTGTCATGACATGGCCAATGAGGTTTTATTACATAACTATTGTTGTTTCTGGACAGCGACATATACAATTAACAAGATTTGATCAGTTCTACCTGTACACTGTCTGGTTTTAAAGTCAATCGAAACAGAGAATTTATTACCACATAATCACATAGTACACGACAAAAGATCTCAAAAGCAGGTGCATGCAAGTCATGCCATCTACTATGATTTTTTGAGGTTATCTTTATATAGAAATATAAAGTACAATCAGTTCAATAAAAACAAACATTTTTCTTTTTTGCTATATATAGCACTGAAATACTTTCTTCATGTATTAAGCCAGTATGTTGGCTCCTAAAGGGTAAACAATATTAGGAATTATTTCTCTTAAAAGAAGAAATATTAGCACTATTGTTCAAACACGAAAAAAAATTGAACAACAAAGCTGAATTAGGATTCATAGCATATTTGGAACTGCTAATACATGTACTTATATTATGATAGGACACAGATGCCACAAGTTTATATTAATGAGTACCTATTTTCTGAAGTTCAAGAGCCTAATTAAGTGGCAAAGAAATGTCACAACATTATCACCCTATGTCTTATTTCCCATACAATATGAATATTCAGACTCTCAAGATGGCAGACATAATAGCAGAGGACAAAGATATTGATTATGACTCTCAGTGGTGCTGGTTATATAATGTTGTCCAGTGTTAAGGAAAGAAAAACAAACGAAAGTGAGTTATTACTAGACTTCCAGACAAATATCTAAACAAAGTAAATAATGTCTTAATTCAATATGTTTGTCGGCCTAAAAAATAAGACAGGAAACTAGCATTAAGACATCATTTCTGGCACAAGAAACAAGCCATTAGTTTTTTACTTTAACATTTGAGCATGATCTTTTATTCATCAACAATTAATTTTGCTGCAATAAATATTAAGGCATGTCAGATGAATAACATGTTGCGCTGATGTTGTCATATAGTGGTGCATTAAGTCCCCTGATGGTATTTCATCTATGGTGTTGGCGACAAAGGGGGAAAGTGAAAAAAACATGTACATAAATTAATCAGTTATGCTTCTTACAAATTCCATCCAATAGCAACTGCAAGTTATGCTGGTGAACTAAATGTTTAAAAAAAACTCTTTCCAAAAAAACTGTTTCAGGTAACATACCAACTAAAATTAGGTTTACATTTTATTTATGGGAACACACTATCATATTAATGGCCTTTCAGAATGAATAATCTGCACACAATACAACAAAACAATTTTGAAAAGAAGTCAAAACTATTAATTGATCTTTTAAATGATAACAAAATTAGATAAAAAACTAATTGGCTAAAAAGAATTAAAGTAAAAAACTTACTACAATTGGCCCAAAATCTTAATTGAAACCTATTTTTTGCATGGACCAGAAGCAATAAGGATCATATCTGATACTGTACAGAAATTTTTTTAGATATAATGTGCTAAATTAATCTCATCATAAATCATAATATTGGTTAATATTGCCTATTCATTATTATCACATAAGCTAATGTAAATACAATACATGGTGTTACTGTTATTAACTATATATATAATTACATGTATATAATTGAACATATATAAGATAACAATATGTATTCAACTGTAATTAACTAAATGACAGAATACATGTATTACACTTACTGATATTACAAATAATTGATAATTACCAGTGTATATGGCTGGGTGGAGAGTGGCAATTTAAACCATGCAAACATTTTTACAAAAAAATATATATTAAGTACATTAATAAATAATGTTGCTTTTTGAATTTGTATCGGCAATAGTCATTGCCATGTTTGGGCCATGGTTAGCAATTTTAGCCATGGTAACCAGTGCTATGTTCGGGCCATGTTCAGCAGTGCTATATACACAAAACCATGTTTTGAACATAACCAGTTTTAAGGGCCATGTTCAGCAATTCTATAAATATATTTAAGCAAACAGTGATGCGAGCCTATAAAGTCTGACAATTCTATATGAAATGAGTTTTGCTGTAGCCATGTAATGTCTTTAACAAAGTTCAAAATGGTATTTAAACAAAGTCTGAGAACACAATCTATAATGTTATTTGACAAAATATGGAATGAATTGAATAATAATATAAAAGATTTTCTGTTCAATATGAGAGAGTTGTTTTAAGTTGAACAACCTGACTTAGAGATAATAGATAACAGAATATAGTATCATATCCTTGAATGATGTATGTCAAACACCTCATTCACCTCAATACTGATTTAATTTACCATTGTATGTATAACTATACAACCTGACATTGGTCAGTAAATTAGATATACCATATTTCCTTTGAGACTTGGCCGACCAATTGAGGTAATTACTTTCAAGCAATGACCTTGGAAACCAGAATTTAGAAACAGACTATAGGCAACAAAAAACTGGATATGCCCAATAATAACGGGGAGGTTATTCCCCCCACTGGAATTCTTGGCATTTACCATGTCTGTGCAGAAATATAAAGTAACAGAATACTAGAATACATTGTACAATAATTTCTTATCTTCTGTCAAAAACCTACATCACAGTATGGATTTAATGGCGTAAAAGCAGACAGATATAAAAACCATCCCCTAACCTGGACTAACATTTGTAACACTGTAAAAAAATTGTTTTCAGAAACTTGAAGGAAACACAAAGGTTCTTTTATAACTATGTCCTAAATATATTTCTAAAATGGAGACAAGACTTTGATATTAAAAGTGAAATGTGTACAAGAAAACAAACAAGTCATGTCGTGCATTGTACAAGTAAAGAAATAAGGTCATTAAAAATACTGCTGATTAAAAATTCATCACGCTTTATCCCTCTGGTATACTAACTTGCCACAAGTAGTTACATCTTATAAAATGAAAGTACAGTTATACCTTTATAAAGGTGCATCAAATTACATCAAAATACGTGGAATCCCAAGGTCACTTGAAAATCATATTACATCAAAACAAATGGATCACCCAAGTCATAAAAGCAATGTCAAAACCATGCATTAAACAGTATGTTTGATATAAATAGCTATGACTAACTTTTTTAAACACATCTATTGTTGAGGCAATATAATAAATCTACACAACAATAGGAATATTTGAGTTTCAACCATAAAAATTTGTCTTTCCCCTTTTAAATAAATTTGGTAAATCAAAACAGGGAAAATAGCAAAGGGGGGGGTTTTGGGGTTTTAAGTTAAACCCAAGAAGTCAAATGGCGATTTTCATTTTTACTGGGGGAAAGGAAAAAAACCCCATTATTTCAGCCCCAAAATGTTCTGTAAAGTTAATGTATTGATGAAAGTTGAACATAAAATCAAAGTAATACAAATGATTTTAATGTAAATTGAACAAAAGAGCACCAAAGCCGTGTTAACGCTTATTTGTTAAAATAAACACTTTTGACAAAAAATCAAAGTTAAAAAGGGACATAACTCCAAAAATATAGCTTTCAGGGTAATGCACATTGTCTTACAACAGTTACTGCACCTTGTCAGAATAATCAAGTACATATATGCAAGTTTCATGTTGATTACTTTGAAAAAATAATTGAATATTGGGCTACATTAAAGTTTTTTGTATGAGGACAAAGACAACAATGACCCAGCAATCATAATATCTTATCTTTTTCCTCAATACAGATGACCTAATAATATGGAAGAGATGTATGGAGAATATAAAACGAGGGTAGCAGTTGAATAAATGTAAGCAATTTTTTCTTAATTGATTGAGATATTGTTTACATTATAAGTTTGAAGCATACTCCTTGAGATGCTTCCAATAGATAGCAACTTCTCAAAATTAAATTGCCAGCTAAGACAAATTATGGTTACAACCTTTTTTTCAATTCATACTCTACAAAAGTAGTTCTATGCAATTTATGATATCTTCATGGTGTTTCAACAAACGTATCAAAACAATCAAAGAAAAAAATTGCAATGAATGAGAAGTCAGTGTAATTGTCATATTGTGTATGATTAATACAATGTACATTTGACATTATAGTGTTTTCCTATTTTCTTTATCTTTTTTGGCAATTTCTTTTCACCTGGACCTCTGGTAAATTTACTGCCAATTTACCATCCTTTTCCTTATATTTGAGGGTCATTATTTTTACCTGAGTGCTATAACGACCTTAATAAAATATCAGATATGAAAATTTAATGATAAATATTTGTTAAATAATTTTTTTTCAACATTTCCAGTGTAAAATTTTTCAACATTTTCGTGTATAATGTTGAATTCTGCTTAAGCCGGTGCTAGGGAGCGTGGACGGTAACTTGCACTTTCCAGTACTGTCCATGAACAGGCTCAATCAAACCGAGCCTGCAACATTTTCAATTTTGTTGTGTTGGACTTTCTTTGGGGATTCTGTTTTTCTCTATTTTATAGAAATAAAGAGAGATACTGCAAACTGTTCATGATAAAAAATGTTGTCAAGTCAAAGAATTACGACCTTTCTTAAGCATAGAATGTGGTGGCAAGGGTTGCAGATTTCCAATGGGAATAATTGTGCTTGTCAACTAATGAAAGAACAAAGTTTTTATTATGATTAATATCTTTCTATGAACAGCAGATACTTCAACAAAATCAATGAAATGATGCTGCATGTAATAGAGTCATCAATTAAATGTGTTGGTAGAGTGACTCTGACCTAAAAAGTCTGATAAAAAATAGGGTAGGTGGGACAGTCATTGCAACAAGCAGTGTTATATACCAAAATGTTCGTTAATGTTTGTAGTTTATGAAACCACCGGCATAAATTGGCATAAATGATGGCATTCAGAGAAATCCAAGATGGCCGCCTTTGATACTGAACTTCACTCCTAACTTTACATGGCTAAAATTTTGCATATAATCGGATACATTTTTAATATTTATTACATATTAAAGTCACCGTAGTGACTGTACAAAGTTAAACATATCAATTAAAACAAATTTACATGCATGATTTGTATTTTCTTATAAAATTTGTTGATAAAAAAGAAGTTTTCGCAAGAAATTTTGCTTTAAGCAGTGGGTTTACAATATATTTTCTGCAGGAATTTCATGTTTTCCTACCAATTGAAGATTTTTGGATATGAATTGAAGCTTACCTTTGATATTCATTGTTATAATCGACTTTTAACGTTGTTTTTTCTTTCGTGGAACATGAAAGAATATAAGAAAAACGCATGTTGGTATTTTCATGGCAAATATTTTTTTTCAGTTAAATAAAGAAAAGTTTATTTAATTTTCAAAGATATGAATCTTTGGATCATTTTAGAATGCATAATTTATGAAAAGAAATGCTAAGTTTATCATCTATTTTCTATCTTGACCTCTTTTCTGTATTTTAGCCGTTTTACTTCATGTGTACCCGTGCACCCCAATAAAATGGAACATAGGCTAATCCCGGGTACACTAAACGTATGATATAGTCTTTTATATGTTAAAAAGAACCTATCATTTCATTATGGGTAACCAAGTAATTATTATTAGCAAATTTGGGAAATAATATTTTTTATCATGTTCTGAATAAATTGTTTATGTAAGGAGTAGTTTAATCACTGTCTTAGATTACTGGTCAAGGGTTTCCTTACCAATTTAACATTATTTGGCATCTTCAATGCATGGGTTATGGCAAGCAAATCAGTATGCAACATTTATACTTTTGCCCTTCTTATTTTCTTCCGTTAGAACAATATATTCAAGATTCAGGCATATTTGTTGTTAGAGAATTACAGATTTACAGTTGAGTTAAGAAGGCAAGTTTGTTGCTAAACTAAGTACTGGGTGTTTTTATTCTGTATAGTTTGTCTATCCCCTTGAAGTCACGGATAATGAAGCACTGGAAACCTCTGAAGGTATTATAGGTCTAACCCATAGTTAAATATAAGTAGTAGTGCTCTCTCTCTCACTGGTTTCTTGCAAGGCCATTAATTGCTAAGTATGCAATGGCTTACACGTCTGACAATAATTCTTGCTCAAACAAACATCACACAGATACACCTTTCCATACACAGTCAAAAGATGTTGAGTGACACCTTTATCGATCCATTTTCTTTATCTTTATCCACCTTCTCAACTTTTAAACATTGCAAATGGTGTTGAAATTCCATTAGATGTTGAAAGGAACCTACTAAATTGTCTAAAAACAGGCCAACAAAATATTGTTAGTTTTTGTGTTAGACAGTTTTGTTGCACAGAAACTTTGGGTGTTGAGCTCAAAATGTGTTAAAATTGAAACAAATTGTATAGTTGTCAATCCAAGCGCATATTCTTGTCAAATGTATCAATAAAACGTAATAAAAGCTGTTTGAAAAAGAAAATCATATTTCAATGTCTATTATTATTATAGATGTTTAAATATGAATTATGTTCAAAACAGCTGAAGTGTTATAGATACATATGACACGTATATGTGCTAGGATTGACAATTATACTTTTTTATAGTTAAACGCATTTTGAGCTCCACAACCACAGTGTGGTTTGTTGTAGATAATTGTAAACCTCCCATAAAGAGATTCTTTGATCCTATGCCAAAATTTTAAGTCCTTTAAAGGAGGTCAGTAAAGTCCAAAGGCAGGTTTAGATTGAACACTGTCCCTATTGATGGTGAAGAGATTTATTTAAGACTTGTCGCAATAAATTCATTTAAGAAAGTGCCTTTTTAATTTTGACAGGGTTCTATCCTTTGGGAATGCCCGTTTGTTCACAGATGATGTCAACACAGAAATCTGATTTCTTTGATGAAATTAGTCAAAGTGCACAGCACATAACTGAGGTATATTTTAGATAGCCTTAAGACCAAATACGCATAAATTGAGGTGAAAATATTTCCGCTTTCCAGCCAGTTGTTATTCAGCCAAATATCCAGTACAAAAAGTAACAAGACTTTGTAACAGAGTTACCAACGTTCCCCGCCTCAGGGAAGTTTTATATGAAGCACAAAATTGTGCTATTTCAAAAAATTGAGGTATGGATCTCAGGACTTTCAGGCCAAAATTATGATCAATGCCAGATCTGCAAATGCAACAATAAATTTATTAAAGCAATAAAATGAAACACAGAATTTAAAAATCTATCATGTTAAGATTTGACTTTTAAGTGTGACTTTGATGTTGGAGAGAGGGATGCAGGTGTTGTGCATGACATATCGTCCTTATTATTGTAACTATTTGTGCCAAGTATTTTCAAAATCCCTTGAACTATGGAGAAGTTATAGATCGGACACAAAATATAGCTTATAACAGACAGACTTTGTTTATTTTTGACCTCTAAGTGTGACCTGGGAGGTAGGGACCCATGTTTTGCGCCTGACACAGGTGTTACGCATGGCATATCATCTTATCATTGTGACTATTAGTGCCAAGTATTTTTTAAATCCCTTGATCTATGAAGAAGTTAAGGACGGGACACAAAATATACCATATAACCGACTCTGTTAATTTGTTACCTCTCAGTGTGACCTGACCTTCGAGGTAGGTGACTGGTTTTTGTGCATAACGCATCGTCACATTATTGTGAACAATTGTAGCAAGTATTTACAAAATCCTTTCAAAGATAAGAAAGTTTTGGACCAGACACAATAAAAATACCTTCAAATAGACAATGTCGACCTTGACCCTGGAGGTACGGGTTTGGTTGTTGCGCATGACACATCGTCTTATTATTAAAATCATTTGTGCCAAGCTATTTCAAATTTCTTTGATAAATGACAAAGTTATGGACCGGACACGAAAATGTGACGGACGGACAGACGGACGGAGCCTATTTCTGTATCCACCTTTTTTCTTCGAAAAGGCAGGGGACAAAAATGCACCTACAAAGTTCTTTACTAGATATCTTTCTGAAAACTGGCATGCGTTTCTTGTCCTGATGAGAAAGCCACTAATTATACAGCAGGAGGATTAGATGAACAGTTTTAAAAATCACTCATTCATGTATAACGTATGTTCCAATATGAGATTCAAATCATGAAGAAGCTGATAGCAGGATAATCCTGCATGTTGCTTTTGCTTCCTCATTAGGTGTACAGCAAGCTGTTGTTTTTTAGTCCTGATACTGATTTATTTGTACTTCTTATAAATCATTTCTCGGAGCTTAATATAAAAAGTATTTACTTTAACTGGTAAAAAAGGTATGCACAGACCTTACAAGATATATTCCAGTACATACAGTAAAAATTTCAATGTTCTGCCTTCACAGCAGTGAAATATCATACTTTCTGTGGTTGTGATACCTGTTCATCATTCCCTAGCATAGGAAAGAGGAAGGCTTTTCAGGTAATGTATAAAATTCTTACTGGCCTAGGGAAAGATCTGGTACTACCAATTCATGCTAACACTGCTGCATTTAAGTTTGTTGGTCTCTTGTATAGACATCATTGCACCTCCCTCAATGTTCTTTGATCATCAAAAAGGGGGTCATATCCAACAAATGACAGCTTTGTTCTTCATTTACTGCGATGTATACTTCAGTTATTCGTATGGCGTTCATCTTTGAAAACAATAATTCCTCCACTTTTTTAACTTTGGATATAGTTAGGAATGTACAATCCACAACTTATGACACAACCTTAAGCCGTACCGGAATTTTTGAGTGACCATGTATATACTTGATCTAACCTTTGCATTGATGATGGCAATGAACAGCCGTGCACCATATTAGCCTGTTCTTGCAAAGGGGTTTTACAAGGGCATATCCATTTGCCATGTTGGCAAATGTTGAGACAAATGATAATCAAGATGATGGTTGTCCATAGTGAAATTGAAAAAAAAATACATTAAGTGTTACATTGACTATGGTTTGACAATAATTACAAATAAATCACTGTGTCATAAACGTATTGAAAGTTACTGTAGAAAATAAATTGAAAACCCTTTAAATTTTATCAAATTGAACCACTGATTTTTGTTTTGGTTTTGCTGAATTTTTACATTTATATAAACAAATGTATCATTGTTTATGAATAACATACACGTGAAAGAACTTAGTTAACAAATAATGTTGCTGCTTTTTTCTACACTCTTATATGCATGTACATGTTTGAACTTTTATAATGTTTTTTAAAGGTTTTGAAATAAGATAAAGATTCATTCAAAAAGAATGTAAAAATATCATAGTAAAGCATTTCTTTTAATTAAAATAAAGAATAAAATTGGTGTCAATTTATACATTTTTTTAACTGTATCTTCTATGAGTTTTCACTTTATCCTTAAATTTGACGCTGCCTTGATTCAGAAAACTAGCAAAATAAGTTTTAAATTATGCAAGCTCCCTTAAAATAATGTTAAAATTCAAAATTGGCAATAAAAGTATAGCTTAAATAATATTTCTTGAAATTTTTCCATGATAGCGGCCATCTTGGCGGCCATCTTGGATTTCTTTGATCGCCATCATTTTTGCCAATTTATGCCGGTGGTTTCATATACTACAGACATTAATGAACATTTTGGTATATAACATTCATTGTTGCAATGACTGTCCAGGTTCATCATTTTCTAGGTCCTGATTGTTACCCTACCATGTCATGCATTACACAAAACAATGGAATTATCAATTTCTGCATTTTATAGCATGAATTTTTAAAAAAAAATTCTTCGGGTTTGGGGGTAGCGGAGGAGAGAGGGGTCGTATTGGGTTAAATTTCTCTATTACTTATGGTCATATAGTGACTTTCCAGCTTCATCGGTGCAATAAAGCCATTTTTCTAATCATATAATCTGTATATTGGTCAGATATTTGTATAAATCATTGGCTTTCCAAAAAAATATGTTACAGTCTGTCAATTTGTATTCTCACTTGCCTGGTGATTTTGTCACCACCCAAAAAGAGCAAAAAAAAACAATGTTAATCTGTCAATAAACGCTGGTTCGGGACTACATGTATAAGCAGCCGTTCTTTTTTCTCCATCCGTGAAGATGAATAAACTAAGTATTTTTGGCAACAATAATAATTTACGCATTTTATTTATATTTTCAGCTCATATTGTTTTCTTTTCAATTATGATGCTAACTAAACAACTCAGACCTACAGCCTTTGTAGTCAATTTCTAGGAATCAAAACTCCAAACATGTGTAAAAAAAGGTCAAAATAGCCGACATTTCAACACCGCTGAGTCCGATATTATTTCTTAGATATAAGACAATTTCTAATTTTATGATAAACATTAATAACCAAACAATAACACATGAGTTATGGTGTATTGCTATAGATGCCGGTCTACTGATCTGAAGGTCTCTGGTTCAATACCTAACTAACACAATGTCATGAAGATATACAGTTATATTTCTTTAATTAATTGCATTATCTTTTATTTAATTTAATAAAAAGTACAGCACGTTTATAATACAAATTAAAAATACTACACACAAAATATCAAAACCTTTTGCACAAGTTTAGAGTGAAATGGCAATTAAAGAGGCTGAACTAGGATTCGAACCTACATGTACGAGTTTACATCTATATATCCTTTAAGTGAAAGACATTTACCGACTGCTCTAAGAGGGATTTCTTTAATTTAGACCATTTAACAAATGGTAATTATCTACATTCATATTAATTAACAAGTAGATAGTAACCTTTACAGAATTTACCAACTATAATCAAATGCAAGAGTACCAGGTCAATATTGTTCAACAATACCTGCACACCATCAGATGAGCCAAAATAGTTCAATAAAATAAAACTTGAGAAAAATCTACTAAAATTTTAAGAAAAGTAAAATTATTCAAAAGTCAAGCAATAATATTCATGTTGTGCGTAATAATTAAATGACTAATTTTTCAGTATTTGTCATCATATTTCTACTGTGTGACTAAAATAATAAGGGCTATTTTTGTTGCATATTTTGACCTTTTAATTTGTAATTGGTTACAATTCATGTCAATAAACAAAAAAAGTAATTTACACATTAGGCACATACAATTTGTATGTGCCTTATGTGTAAACTACTTTCTTTGTTCACTTCACAATATTTTACTTTAAATACATTTTTCAAAGTTTTCATGAAAATTAGGATGATTTATCTGGATGCATGCTGTTTTATGATTAAGATATATAAGACTATTGAGGCTAATGTTAAACAGAAATTCTTTATTGCTGAAATAAGACACGTACACAGACAATTAATGAGAAAAACAAGTAATTTCTTTTTTAAACTTTCTATGAACCTATTTAACTATGGTGCTTTTATTTTTTCTCTAAAATAAGAAACAATAATGACTATGAATGTGCTTTAATCATCAGGGAACTCATTTTAAGCTTGACTTTTAAATACAAAGATTACTCATTTTAGATCATAAAATTAAAAGTATTTTACCGCAACAGTAAATTAAAGGAAGTACATGTGTAAATGATTAGACCTTGAGACATCTGAGGGGATCACTTAGTAAAATGTCACAAATTTTTCTTCAGAAATTCAACATTCATTAACTAACCTTTCAACAACCATAACATACTGAAATGCTAAGGTGGCATTTTAAGATTCCATATTCATATCCAAATTTTCATGTTACCACAACATATACATGGTATAATACGAGAATTTTAACTTAATTAATCAAGGTCAAGGGCAAATTTTTGGACACTACCAAAATCAAAAATTTACCACTAACACGTGTTTCGGAGCAGTTGCGTGTCATATGAATTATTGTGCCATGTTTTAATTTTCTTAAAAAATTGAATATTCAAAGTACGGAAGACAATATTCAGGATGAGTATCTGTAGGTGTACAGTATACAGTATGCCTTTAAATGTTAGTTCTGCGACATTAAGACAATTATAAATTAACAACTTATAGAACAACATAGGTTGAACTCAGCGTTATAAAGCGTATTTCATTCAAACTGTGAGTAATCTCACTTAGTTAACACAATTAGACTTTTGAGGTGTGATTTCTTAAAAGCCATCACAAGAAAACCAACTCTACCCAGCATGTACTTCACAATTAGTTCCTAAGTAAACTAAGTATACCCAACATGCATTTCTTAATAATTACTTTTGGGGCATACATTATATTACTCAGATTAAATTCTCTGCGACAATAATGCAAAAAATGAAGCATACATTTTTCTATGTATTAAGAATAATTAACTTGATGAATATGTGATACATGATTGATTAGAGGGAAAAAAATCAATAATCATGAAATTTATATTTAATAATTAATCAGTTTATTATCATATATTTATAAATTTATCGTTCTACTGTTCTAATTTAACTGATTAGCATTTAATACTATTATTTTTACAGTGATTAGTTTAGGAGTTTACATATAGACAACATAAAAAAACTGTTGAATAGAATTTCTTTAATTTAACTTGACATGTTGTCTAACAACATGTCAAGTTTAAAGAAATTATATTGAACTGTTTACTCATAAAACGTCCATAATGTATGATATGCAATAGGAGGCAGCTGTTGGATATAATGATACTTATAAATGACAATAACACTGCCTCTTTATATGATTGATGTATAAAACAATGAATTTTTTTATATGTTTACA